TTTTTCGATTGAGAAGTCAATCAATTAACATCTCAATCATCCGACAAGAAACAATTGTATCGGGCCAGTTGGTAAGGATCCATCTTGCAAGGAAGCGCAGCCACTATTGCACAGCAATATTGCACTATTGCACAATATTGCACTATTGCACAATTGCACTATTAAGCGCTTGTGTTGTGTGTTCTGTGCAATAGTGGCTGCGCTTCCTCGCAAGATGCGACAAGAGCTCGTCGACCGCCTTAGAAAGGTCAAGACACAGTGAACAGGGCTGCACATAAGGAGTGCTGGCGGTCAGCTGATGACTCTCAAGGGTAAAAGTACCACTCGACTTCGCATCGGGGATTCTAGCTTCGTGGCCACTTTCATCCTGTTGCCAGACTGCTATAAAGAGCTAATTCTAGGCATGGATTTTCTTCAAGATCATGGTGCTGTTATTAACATCCCTCAACGTATTGTGACATTTTGCGCACATCCATATGCCAACAACAGCAGCGACGAACCACGCGGTGCGAATAGCCGACGATGTGACGCTCCCACTGAGATCATGCTGCCTTGTGTCGATGTTCAGTGGGTGGCCGTGCTATAAAGAGATGATAGCGGAGCACATAGTCGCTCTTTTGTTCACGCAAGGCATTTCCATCGCGAGGGGCATCCTGGTGCTTACTGGTGGACAGGTAGAAGTGCTTCTCACAAACTTCAGCAACGAGCGCCGTAAAATCCAGAAGGGTACCGCAATTGCCTACTATGATGATGTAGACCAAGCCAGGGATTGTTTTGCTTTGCAACAAGATGACGCGACTGTCCCCGCCTCGACAACTTCGTCGGTGGACATCTGCTCCACGCTACCGCCCTCTGATAAGAAGCGCCTGCTTGAACTTATACACCAATTCGAAGACTGCTTTTCGCATACGTCAAAGGTCCAGCAAACATCATTGACCAAGCACCGCATCATTACTGAAGACAACACCCGACCGATTCGGCAGAACCCCTATCGTGTGGCTCCGAAAGAACACTACGAGATTCAGAAGCAAGTACAGAAGATGCTCGCGGATGACGTCATACAACCTTTGAAAAGTCCTTGGGCGTCCCTCGTGGTTTTGGTCAAGACAAAAGATGGCAGCTTGCGCTTCTGTATTGATTATCGCAAGTTGAACCAAGTCATGAAGAAAGACGTCTATCCACTGTCACGCATAGACGATTCACTCAATCGGCTGCGTCATGTGCGCTATTTCTCTTCAATGGACCTCTGAAGCGGCTACTGGCAGATGGAAGTCAACGAGAGAGATCGCGAAAAAACTGCCTTTGTGACGCCCGATGGCCTTTACGAATTTAAGGTGCTTCCTTTTGGGTTGTGTTCGGCGCCAGCCACTTATCAGCGTCTCATGGACACCGTGCTATCAGGCCTGAAGTGGCAAACATGCTTGGTCTATCTGGACGATGTTATTGTATTCTCAAAAACATTCGAGGAACATCTCAGCCATTATTTACTCACCGTCCTCCAAGCCATAAGTTTGGCCGGCCTTACTTTAAAACCGGAAAAATGTCATTTTGGTTTCAATGAACTCAGCTTCCCAGGTCACGTCAGTCACGAGGGTGTTCGACCTGACCCGGCCAAAATAGATGCCGTAGCGCAATTTCCTGCACCACGTGACAAAAAGGCCGTGAGACGCTTCTTAGGGTTGTGCGCCTATTACCGGCGATTTATCAAGGACTTTTCGTCTATTGCGGCGCCATTGACATGACTTACACGTGAGGACGTCCCTTTCTTTTGGGGGTGAAGAAGAGCAAATTGCATTCAATGAACTACGACAATGCCTGCAAACACCTCCAGTCCTTGCGCACTTCAACCAGGAAGCCCCTACAGCGCTACACACTGATGCCAGCAATGTAGGTCTGGGTGCCATTCTGGTGCAGTGGCAAGACGGCCGTGAAAGAGTAATAGCCTACGCCAGCAGAGCTCTCTCTTGCATGGAGGAGAACTACTCGACCACCGAGAAGAAGTGTCTCGCTGTGGTGTGGGCGGTCATCAAATTTCGTCCATATTTGTACGGCCGCTCCTTCAAGGTTGTTAGCGACCATCACTTTTTGTGCTGGCTCACCAACCTTAAAGATCCATCTGGCCGTTTGGCGCGCTGAAGCTTAAGGCTTCAAGAGTTCGACATGACCATCATCTATATATCAAGAAGAGGCACACCGACGCCGACTGTCTCTCACGGTTGCCAGTGGAGACTGTTGCTCGTGATGACGAAAACATCGACGCAGCTTCCTTGGAGTTGTCGACATGGCCACCATTGCGCAAGAGCAGCGCATGACCCCGAGCTGTTACCACTCATTGAATATTTAGAAGGACGGCGTAAAGACGTGCCACGGTTATTTGCCAGAGCACTGCCATCTTTTGCTTGTGAAACGATGTTCTCTATAAGAAGAACTTCTCACCAACTGGCAACACACACTTGCTCGTCAAGCCTGCCTCTCTTCGAAAAGAAATTATGGAAGCGTGCCATGATTAAGTAACTTCTGGTCACGTAGGCTACACCCGAACATTATGCCAACTTACGATGCAAGTACTACTAGCCAAAGTTACCTGCTGCTCTTAACCATCACGTGCAAACTTGCACCAACTGCCACAGACGAAAAGCGCTGCCCAGCAAGCCAGCCAGTCTTTTACATCCAGTTGAAGCACCATTGAGGCCGTTTACCCAAATTGAAATAGATTTCCTGAGTCCTTTTCCAACTTCCACAACAGGAAACAGACGGATAATTGTGGCCACCGATTACCTCTCCCGTTATGCGGAGACTAAAGCTATGCAGCGCGACACAGCAGCAGAAGCCGGTCAGTTCTTCATCGAAAACATCGTCCTTCGGCATGGCGCTCCGACAGCAGTGATCACAGACAGAGGACCTGCCTTCACCGCAGAGCTTTAGAAGTCGGTTCTCAGACTCAGTGGTACAGCTCACCGGAGAACAACTGCATACCATCCGCAGACAAACGGACTGACGGAGCACCTCAATATGACCCTCACAGACATGATCAGCATGTACGTTGACACGAAACATAAAAACTGGGATCAGATATTGCCGTACGTGACCTTTGTCTAAAATACCGCTCGACAAGAAACCACTGGAACGACGCCATTCAGTCTGATCTATGGTCGCGAAGTCACGACAACGTTGGATGCCATGTTGCCGCATGAGTGTGATGACATCCATGTAGACACCGAAAAATTCACTCAGCGCGTCGAGAAAGCCAGACAGCTCGCGCGTGTGTGCATCTGTCATCAACAGCATCAAGATGCACAATGGTACGACCCCCGACACAAGTTTGTTAGCTACACACCAGGTAACAAGGTCTGGGTCTGGATTTCGATACGTCAACGTGGACTGTCTGAAAAGCTGCTAAGACGGTACTTTGGCCCATACAGTGTCACGCGACGCTTGAACGACGTGAACTACGAAGTTGTTTCCGACACTGACTGTAGTTCTAAGCGCCAAAAGCATTTACCCGAAGTCGTGCACGTCGTGCGTATGAAACCGTATTTATCGAGTTAATTAGCTCCCGGTTACCGTGTTGGCGTGAACACTTCATATGCCTGGTAGAGCGCCTAAGTTGTGCATCGGGACGATGCCTCTTTCGGAGGGAGGAAAATGTCACATGCTTGATCAAGAAAGACGATGGCGGTCGTGCATGTGCCATGAAGGACTATAAAATTGATGTAACAGAAAAACTAGCTTGCACGTCCTATTAAAAATACCGACCTGCTTCTGCTGTCTCAATCTCTGCGGCAAGACCTCTGTTTTGACGTCGTGACAATATTACTGATAGTGCTTGAACAACTATGCTGTTGTTGGCTAATGATATTACCAAAACATTCACAGGAGCCTACTATCAGTAATACTAAGTTTGTTTATAAAGTATATTAAAAAAAAAAAAAACATTATTTCCATAGCAAAAATGCTGAGTCACATCCATACAGAAATTTCATATTCAAAAGCAATCAGTTACACCTTACAACTAGCATACTTAGTTTTTGATATTTTCATGTTAGGATGTAAAACCCCAACAATTACTTCTTGATATCTTTACTTAGAAACCATAGAATGCAATATAAGTTTGAAGCCTTGCAGTTCCATCATAAGTAATAGCTTCCTTTCGGCTACAGATGAATAGTTCTTCATTATCATGTGTAGTCTGCTTCAGCGAAACAGTGGCTATGGTGCTTGGCTGCTGAACCAAAGGTCACGAGTTTGACCCCAGCAGTGGCGGTCACATTTCGATGGAGGTGAAATGGTAGAGGCCAGTGTACTGTGCGATGTCAGAGCATGTTAAAGAACACCAGATGGTCAAAATTTCCAGAGCCCTCCACTACGGCACCTCTCGAAATCATACGACGGTTTTGGGATATGAAACCTCACATATCATTATCATGTGTCGACAAAGCATTCTAGTGAAATAACAAGAGCATGTTAGCTTTCCTGCTCTTCAACCTGTTGCACCATTTACCACGCACTCGGGAATAAACTTTATGGTGGAATGAGTTCACGCAGCTGATTTTATACTATAGTGCTGTATCATACTTACTATCGACAGCACTACCAATGATTTGTTCTACCATAAGTAGTTCAATAGTTCCTAAACTATCGATAGTACTGACAGTGCTATTGATAGTTCTGCATCAATAATGACCAGAAATGCCTGTAAAGTAGGTGGTAGGACGACCGCCTCTTTAGCTTCATTGGTAGAGCATCTGCCACGTTATCTAAAGGTTGCAAGCTTGGTCCCTGCAAGAAGCAAGTTGATTTTCCATATACTTTAATTTCTTCACATGTATATGATAATTACTACAATGCAATTAAAGGAGTACGAATAACATTCCCGATACGTTACTTCTCTTCAATGTCTGCTGGTTTTCATTAATATTGTAACTAACAAAGAAAAATGAGCCCTTCAATTATTTTTTTTTCAGTCTATTTCACAATAACACATGTAGACCCCTACTTACCTTATACTTTGGTTCTTTCCCTCTGAGTTGTGAAGCCACTTTGGATATAGTTTGCTCCAGGAATGTTGTCAAAGAACGAGGACCCTCGTGGGCTGTTATAAGTGACCATAGGCAAGATGTGAAAGCCATGAACATTTTGTGTGTCTACAACATTCCATAAAAAAAGTAATTTTAGACACAAAAGCGACCAAGCAGAGTAATCCTAAGGGAGAAAAGCTTAAAAGCTTCCAGAATATGGGCTCTAAGGCAAATGCACATTTCTGCTCTGTAGATGCACGGCACTTTTGGTTTTACAAAATATAACTGTGCAGGATGCAAAACAAGATGGAAACATTTATTTAGAAACCATGTTCTCAGGATCAGCAAAGATTTGGATTTTTCATAAAACTTGTGTCCTGGATGGGAACAAATATACCCAAGTGCTTATTGTCATTTGGCCATGAATTTTCGAATTACAATTGTTTCGCCGGCAATTTAAAACCCTGAAGCTACAGGCAACGCCCACACAAAAAAAACCATGGTTGGTTGAAGGCACTCTGTAGAGGCGATTTCAAACCTAAATGTCGAAATAATTTTAGCGCTGTGTAGAAATGTTAGTCAGTTCTTGCTTTTAGTTGCCGAAGAAGGGCCATTCCTGTGGAGGGCTCGCCCAGTCTTGATGGCTGCATCAGCAAAGCCGGAGACGCTAAAAGGCAGAGTGGTATTGACTCGGCTTCATTAGTGACTTCCTTGTTTAATGCCACCCGAGGAACTACCATTGCCAAGCGAAGACCCATTCTACAGGCATGCCTCTAAGCCCTCGAGCTGACTCGTTGATGGCGATATCAGTGGCAGCTGGTAAAGAATGTGGCTTGTTATGAGCACAGCATTCAGCTTAAGTATAGACATAAGATTATTACCCCAGCGTACACCTGCCGTGTGACAGTGTTGATTCTTTGAAATGATGCAGCCACAATACTATCAACCGCTCATCGTCATAGTAGCTTATTGTCAATGGTAACACCCAAGAAATGAACATGCGCAACGAATCGAGTGGCCCCTGATATTCAACAACGGGCGTATTGACTTACGCCATACCATGGCCGCTGGATGAAAGAGCGTACGGGTACGGCCCGCTGTGTGCTCCAAAACAGGCGCTACAGGTCTAGTTTCCGAACCACCGCTGCGGCAACACCGGGGGGGGGGGGGGGGACAGTTTTCGCGAGCGCTAACGTAATCGCATGCGCGGCGCGCTTGCGGTTACAATTGACGGCGTGCATCTTCGTGAGACCAACAAAATCTTTTTTTAATATCTGCCTGGCGTGTGCGCACCAGCTAACTACCAACCTTGCTTTTAGATATCTGCAGCCCTTGCAAATTTTTGGTATTGTCTTACCTGAGATGGAACCTTGCCCACCGATCAGTTTTCGCAGAAGTAAGAATTGTGAGCACATTTTACTTGGATGATACAAGATCACAACCAACAGATCTGGAAGAGCTACACCTTTCTAATGCATCTAAATTGATTAGAGTAACTATGAGTAGTTCGCTTCAGAAAATGTTGCTTCAGATTTATTCATTCAATTTAGAATAAAATACCTCAGCGATTGCAGTTGCCATGGTTCCTTTAACACAAAGTAAGATAAACTTTTTACTTCCTCCAAACATGTCTCTAGTACTCATACAATGCAGTATCAAATGCAACAGCCACGAAATATACTTAGCATATGTGCGATCTCATAACAGTGGACTCGAGTCTCTTTGAAATTTCAGTGACTGTAACTTCAATGCTGGCAATTGAGCGAGCAGTTATGAAATGAATAATATCAAAACTTTGAGACTAAAAGAGCGATGAAATGCTGCAAGGGCGAACACAACTGCTTGCGTTCATGCCTTTTTGAATGCTTTAGTCTCTTTCCATCCCATCGTTCTTACGATAATGCAACTAATTCAACAGTGAACACATAATCGGAACAAGATGCATGAAAATATTTTATTTATTCTCAATTCAGTGCTCATCCTGACATTTTATAATTTTTTATGTCTTTACATCTTTGCATAATAAAACGACTTGACAATTGCTCCAGCTTGTGCCCCCAAATTTTGCCTTCTGTGTCTATCAACAATAAAGCCATTCGTTCAGTCTTTTCATGTTAGCCTCTCCACGGGCACTGGCGAATCCCAATAGCACTCCGATGCGCTTGTCTTCTAGCAGTCTGTCATGCAGTTCTGTCATTAATTACTGTTTATTTGTTCAACCATGTATCGTCAACAAATCGGTCCCTGTGCTAGCGCAAACGTAGGCACATCCCGTGCACTCGACTGCCCTACAGCAGCCGTAGTTTTGCGATGTGTAAACATAATAAAAACGTGGACATGGTTGTCACTTGACCCGGCCGTGTGTGTGTGTGTGTGTGTGTATATGTGTATATATATATATATATTGTGATGTACTAGACAGAGAACAAGAGGCAACACCTAATCCTGGGCCAGCTGTTCTTATTCAGACTTCGTTCTTCTCTTCTTTGCTCTAGCTACCTGCGCGCCGAAGCGCCAGCGTATTCCTTGGTTATGACACTCGGCCATGACTGCGCGCGCGCGGAGCTGGTGGCAAAGTTTCTGGTGGGCGGGCTTGGCTGCATCGTGGTGGTCAGCCCGGACCACAATGCAACATGGAGTGACGGTCTGGGGTAAGCGTCTCTGGTGGTCGGCACTGGCTGCCTCGAGCTGGTCGCTCTTTTGCACACCACGATGTCTCTTGAAAAAGTGCTGTGGACTCAGGCGGCTGGCACTGGCTGCCCCGTTGCGGTGGTCTATAACCTCGGCCATGTTGCGACGTTTCCAGTGCGTTTTCCGATGGGCGGAATAAGTTCTGTCGCTGCGGTTGATCTCATCCAAGGTTCGATGTGTTCGGAAGACTTGGTGAAAACAGTTCTGGCAGGTGGCATTGACTTCCTCGCCTGGGCTGGACTCGGCTAGGCTGTGACTTGGCATGTTGAGGCTGTATTTGTTGCCTTGGTCGCCCACAGTGTCGTTGTTGACGTTGGGCATTGGCATTCGCTCGCACCTTGGTCGATGAAGACTCGGGGGTATGAAACTGGTTGTACCTCAGTGGTCTGTTTTTATGACGCTGTAACATGGTGTAGAGATTTGGTGGGCGACAGTGGGTGTGTTGGGGCAGTCGTTGCTTGCCGAGTAGACATTTATGTCGTCTGAGCGGGGTGGTGTGGTTTTTATGCGCATTTGAATGCCGAGCCGGAAAATGCTTGCGCAACAAAGGGTGAGTGTGAGCGCTCACAGGCCACTGGACACAATCATGATGCGACGTGCCCGCAGCTTCCTTGCTGTTATTGCTCTTGTTTTGACCGAGCTGGTCATGGCCTGAACAATCAGGGGCGATTTCCATGGTGACGACTTTATGGGGGTCTGCACGACGTTCAGGTTGTACGTTGGGAGTCAGAATGGCGTGCTTGTCGTCGTCGGCAAGATCGTACATCATATTGCCAGAAAGGCCGATGCTGGCTCTCTCTGCCTGGAATGCATCGATGTAGCTCACACGCTTGGCCAATGACTTGGTGCCCGGTTTAAGATTGTCTCCTTGCTATCCACGGTTGTCTCCGACAGCTCCGTCTTGGAAATGACATTGGTTGCTGGCACGGGAGTTCGTGAGATGGGTCCCGGTGTGGAACCTGGCATCGGAAGAGCGATGCCTGCCTTGGAGCCTGTTTCAGTGTACCCTGCGGAGCGTTCAGCCAAAAGATCATCAAAGCTTATGCAGGGTACAACTGCACATTCGGGATGGTTCAGTGTGGGTATGTCCTTTGAGTGACGTCCTTCACGTGGCCCGTCTTCGTAGTGGTCTTTGGCTGAACTGAACTTGAATTGGACGACGGCAAAGAGTCCGAAAGCTCAAGTGAACTGCAACCTGGAGGTAGAAACCCTCCTGTGCCTTATCCTCGGTAGTTGTCAGGTTGAACTGGGTGGTGGAAGGGAGATCGGAGAGTGTCCGGCTGAAGGCAGCTATGAGCTTGGAGCTCCACTCCACCCAGGACTGCTGCTTGAAGCCTTCATACCGGTGCCACGCCGCTGCACCTTCCCGAAGACGGTCTACAGCCACGGTCCATTTTTGAGATTCTGTCCAGACCTCGCGCATTGCTATCGCGTTGACGGTTGCCACCCAGCTGTCGGCGTCGTTCCGGACCCCGTGGAATTCCGGTAGTTTGCAGACGGCTGGTGATTGTGAGGTGGCAGGTGGCAACGCAGAGATCACCGACGCGAAGCAGTCGAGCTGGTGTGAGAGCTCGATGAGAGAAGACCGAAGCCCCCTGCGTTGCTCCGGTTTGCTTGCCTCAAGGTCGTGTGAGGCAGCTACATCCAACACTGCGTTAATGTCACATAATGCTGGCAACATCGTAGGAGCTCGCTCACAGGTGGATGCTGTAAGTTCATTAGTCTCGACGTGGAGTAACGTGATGGTACGCCGCAGGTTCGCGGTGGTGTCGGGTGTGAAGCCCGAAGAGTCAGTGATCGCGGTCTTCAAATAAGTAGCGGTTGCACCACTTACGCCAGCGAGATTAACGAGCAGGGAAGCCTGGAGGGCGTTCAGTGGCGGCTCGTGTGTTGGAAGAGTACTGCAATGAGAATGAAGGCCATGGGAAGCGTGAGCGGCATTCCCAAAGGACAGAAGCCAGTGTGGATCCCTGCCGTGAAGCGGTGGCAGGGTGTCCATCAGGTCATGCCATAGAACCACAGGGGAGGCCTGGACGCCGTCCACAGGTGGTTTGAAGGGTGGCTGAAGCGGCGGGTGGGACCCCATCACTAAGGAAGCGTGAACGGCGTTTATTGATGGAGAAGCCCGCGCTGCCGACGAACCACGAAGACACGTACCAGTGGCTTTATGCAGAGGGTTCACTTGTCGGACTGCCCCATTGTAATGAAGAGAAAAGAGACAACACCCGATCCTGGGCCAGCTGTTCTTATTCAGACTTCGTTCTCTTCTTCTTTGCTCTAGCTACCTGCACGCCGAAGCACCAGCATCTTCCTTGGTCATGACAATATTGTTACACAAGGTGAGTTAACTTAATGGGAGTTTTTAATGGGCCCTGAGTCCGCGATCACAGTATGATGATGATGATCTCCACCGCCACGGCTCGTACCCACTCAGGGGGATCGCAGTGGAGGCAACGTCGTCTTCCTTCTCTACCCGCGCTTCCCTTGTTTTTCCTGGTAGTGATACTTCGTATCATTCCTCCTGTCTCAGACGAAGCCCTCTGGGCAAGTCGTTCTTGCATCTTTCGTGTAAATGGCTTCAGGCGGGCAACATGCGTCACCTCTGTCTTCCATGAACGCTGCTGCCCCGAGGGAGCCGCCGCCACTCGTTTTCCTGTCCCTTTCGTCCCTGTCCCGTCGCGCTGCAGCAGCCGCAACTGACCCTACGGCTGACACGCGCTCTCCCATAGGAAGTCGCTCGACGCGGCAGGCTGTACCGTGCGCTCTTTCATCCAGCGGCTGTGGCCATAACCCCAGGAAGAGCATGTAGGCAATTTTCTCCACTAATGAAGACAGACTAGTGTCGACAAGTGGCGTTCAATTATTGAAATCGCGCCCTGTGCTATCTGGGCCAAACGTTTGTGTTGGCACCCCGAGATCCAGATGCAGATGCCATCAATGTAGATGGATATTTTAACTGCCTTTAGAGCTACTTTCAGAGCGCGAGAAAAGCTGGCCATGGAAGTGACAATATTAGTCTAAAGTACCTACAAGGCTACCCAACATGTCACATGTTGAAATATCTGGCTAAGACTAGTTCACTATTTACACACGCCGGTTGTATTGACTCAATATTGCCTATAGTGTTTAGCACATAGTTACATATTTTCAGCCACCACAACTGCACTTCTACTGCCGCTGAATTCGAAGCTGAATAAAAGTTTTCGTTGTAACCAAAGTAAACAAATTATGTGCATCTTACTGCAACTTTTGCGGGCTTCTTCTGCATGATAACAGCCCCAGCTGTAACACTGTTGATGGCGATGTTGACATTGCCAGTGTTGTACTTTGAGAATAAAAAATCACAACTGCCAATCTACTTGCAATTACTCATCGTTTCTTACAACATACATGCAGAGATGGAAACATGTATCCTGAATCATCACATCTAGCAGCCCCTTAGTCAAATAAAAATGGTGACATAAATGTTCTTACCATGATCAATGATGTGTGCTAAAGCACAGTGGATTAAAATGGGCATCAAGAGCTTCACCATCTCAGCAGGATGCAGTGACAGGAGGAAATACAGCACCTGCATGAAATATTTTACTACAATACAGACATAGGTGTATCAGCCGGGGGGGGGGGGGGGGGGCAAGGGGGCTGCGAGCCTGCCCCACTGAGAAAGGTTGGGGTGGGGGGGCTGAGCCCCCCGACCTTTCGACAATGGTCACTCTTGGCTGCACAGCAAGGAAACCAAAAAGTAAGGCGAAGTTTTCGTCACAATAGTAATAACTCAATTATGTTCTTATGGGAGAACGAAAATGTTACGAGGCAATGTTATAGCATAGTGAAGCTTTGAAACATTTCCGCTGTGATGATTTTCCTTGTAGGTTATTTGTGGTGCAGGTCGCCTATGCGACATATTCGCATCTTGTGCTGTTGTATTGCAGAGCAGGCAAGTGCTGAACAGGGGTTCTATAATATTACATCTCTTGCTTATGCTTTTATTCTGCCTTGACTTGTTGATGCAGTTACGAATTGGAATGAGCAAACTTTTTATGGACCGGTAAAAATCATTTGCTGCTACCGGAAAATAATTTTCTTTGAATACACTATATCATCGCCACTGCTCTGTCGAAGCTGTTGCGAGCCGATGAGGGTGACAAATCGTTTTCCTGCACTGAAACACTAAAAATTATTTTCGATTTAGTCTCTGATAAACCTGATCAGCCTTGCTTATGGTAACTTGGAAGCTGAAGCTATAGCAGCAGTAAAACGCACCTTTACAGAGGTAATTGAATATTTACTGTACATTGATAAATGAGAGTTTACCGAATGTATGTTTTGGTTTTGGCAGCTATAGCCCAATTCAACGTGGATGTATCCACAGTGACACCTGGTACACCTCCATCCCGACGACTAACATCTCCGACAGATTTATTGAACAAGCTATTGTGGTATCTGTAGATGTTAACCGCCTAAACATAATTAGAGAGAGAGGGAGGCATGATAGCAAGATGAGCACCGCATATTAGATGCAGAAATCGGGCTAAGGGCGCCATTCCTTGGCCTCGGTCTTTGAAAGTGTGATTGAACTACGTGGTATCTAAAATAGCGCGTCGCTTCACCTGTGTGTTTGCAGATTTATATCAAAGTGCGAGCACGTCAATGAAGTTCTCTCTCGCTAAATATATATATATATATATATATATATTCCAACAGATGAGTGAGGTAGGCCTGCCCCTCCACCCGCGAAAGAGTTGATACGCCACTGGATACAGATGATGCATAACAAGATTTTATGAGATGTAAATGTCAATGTTTGCTAAGGTGTATTGAAGAACTGAGTGGTGCATGAAGATAAGCAGAATTTTGCATTAACTGGCATAAGACAAGGAAGGAATAGCAGACAATCGCAATGATAAAGTAAAATTTCTTTTTTTCTTACTGTTTCGTTTCTGTCCAATGTCTGCATAAAACAGCTAATTACTGGAGGGCACAAAATGAAACGTACAGTCATGTTCAATATAAGCAGCAGCAACACCCCAAGTAACCACGGATATCCGCTGGCTGTCCATTATAAATACAAATGGCCGGCCGTATGGTATCCAAGACGGATAGCCAATGGATGTACTGTGAAAATCCATGTCCCGTGTGGCTGTTTTTTTAATGGATTCAATATGTGTATCGTAGGTCATAAGAAGCAACGTAATTAGTGTTATTATCACATGTGAATTGACAAAAGTGCAGATCGAGCTCGTCATAGCTATCATCATGTAGGCCAACTTTCATGTGCCAGCCTCTACACTTCTCAACAAGCAGTGCACCGCAGTTGCTCAGATTCCTTGAACGTACACATCATGCTGGCCATGCCCCTTTGGATGTGTTGGGAGGAAACACGCGCTATTCTGCCTATTGTCCTGAAACCTGCTCGGCCAGCGGCGCGCAGCGAGAAGGAGCGCAGGAAAGGAGGGCGTTCGTGTCGCATCACATGTATGTATGCTGAGCCGGTCTCCGAGGCTCAGAGCAGCAGAAGGCAGATTTTTTTTCAAGAGTGCCCGTGTGGACATCAACAGCATTATGTAGAGTTACGAAGGATGACTTTTCTACAAGAAACACCGAAACGTGAAACGAGCCCACCACTGTTTTCGGCAGAGATTACCACAGCAAGCAGCAGCAACCCCGCTTACTCGCACGGCACAAATAAGGCCATATGTAGAACATTTATCTATTCTTATCATGCGTTAACTATTGTCCATCATTTGTATAAGCCTTGCTAGTACGTGGAATGCTTCCAGTTCTTCATTTGCTCGCACATTACTTGCTGTTAACCCATTGACGAGGACATTCCTTAGAAGTGTGTGCAACACCCAATAGTTTTTCTCCTGTGCTTGTTTGTATGTACGTATTGGGGTTACTAGAATAACATTGCTATAAACATGTACGAATCGGGTCTGTTGCTAATGATTTAATCAATCCGCAAAGAAGCAATTGCTGCCGCCTAAGAAGTCATTGCATTTGAAGGCGGAAGGACATTGAACACTGACATCTCGTAAGACTATGTGCACATTTTCACAATCGCGGCTGCGGACTGTGCGTTATGTGCTTCTTAGTTTTGATATATGTTGATAATGAAGTCAAAGCCCGCTTGGACTTCATTTGCGGCAGAAAAGCTCCTGCGGAATAAAGACGGGCCTTCGAGACTGTGTGGGTATGTTGTTCACATGAAAGGTTTCTTTCTCTCTCTCTTTCTCTCTCTCTCACACACACACAAACACACACACTCACTAACTCACTCACTCACACTCGAAGGGCCTGTCAATGTCAACGTTGGCTGTCCTAGAGGGAAGTCAAGCGAACATACAAATTTGTTAGCTTTGTACATCTGATGTATGGCCATCGTACGTACAGTGTACATTCGCGAACATCTTATGAAGGCCCGGAATATCCGAAATGTACGTCCCGTCGTATGCCTACCGGATATCTGTGGTTACTTGGGACTGTGCCATAGTCTAAGGGGCTCCCGAAATCTGCAATGCAGCACTGAGAAAACCTAAAATATCAGTATCTTGAACAGTGTTCAGTTTACCTTTTTTTTATTATGATGGCACTGGCTTGCAGTATTGGGGCCACTTTAAATACGAGCACTGAGCTGCCACTCATATTTCGTGTGAATGCACAGGTGTGTTTGCATGAGAGAAAAGAGAGAGGCTACCGATGTACAGTCAGCTGAAAATTTCTGAACAGCTTGCAAATTTTTGCCTGTTGATGCTTTAAACTAATTTTTGCACTGTAAACTTTATATGCTTGAAATCAGCAATAGCATTAGGTCATCTATGCTGAGCTTGCAAATTTTTGCCTGTTGATGCTTTAAACTAATTTTTGCACTGTAAACTTTATATGCTTGAAATCAGCAATAGCATTAGGTCATCTATGCTGAGAACACTCAGCTTAATGAGAACACTACCGTTGCAGGTTGTACAGCAACTTCCAACCCATTATGTGGAAAAGCTTTTTCTTTCATCAATGTCACAGCACAATTCTGTCGGCATGTGTAAAAGTAAGAATAAAATTGCGTTATCCTATAATTGCAAAGATAAACAGGACACCACCACTGCGGTAAAAAGACCCCTGACACCAAAAACGAAACTTCAAGATGCTTGTGCTGTTTGATTGTTCTGTATATGGGGAAACTTCTTACCGATTGTTAGTGCCGGATGTTAGCTTTGAGCTATTTCAGTTTGGTTTTAAAGTAAGCGTGAGTGCTCTGCTCATCTGATTTTGCAACACCTCGCGATATCCCCCAGGGTTTGACAGGGTTTGAGACCCCATGTGACGTTTCACAAGTAAAATGAGTATAGTCGACGCCAAAGAACATTTGCGAGGTGTGCACAATACTCTAACTGATACCCAGCCACGACAATTGTTCGTCACCCCTTTCGCTCTGTTGTCAGGCTACTCTCAAGGTGGTCTCGGCTACTTACGCGAGGAATGATTTTCTTTCTTTGAGGGGGACACAGTCAAAGCACCCACATCATTTCATTGTGCACTGCATGCGGGTGCCCCAATTTGAAAATGGCGTATTCAGCATCAATGAAGCTTACCACACGTAGTCTCAAGTGCTACTCCGCTGCGAGGCCCTAGTTTCTTATGGTATGTAGCTGGGCATTTTGAATTGATGCAAAATTATTGTCAATAACAATGCTAGCATTCATTGTATGATGCATTAGAGCATTTAGGATTCAATTTTGAGATAACCAGGCACAAAGCTACAAGTTGCGGTAAAAGAGTCGCAAAGAAAACTTTCACTGCCAGGGGTCCCTTTAAAGGGGTGCTGCAACACTTTCTGAGCATGGTCATGAAATGCTGCCAATCGGTAGTAGAGGCTCCTGAGAACACGCGAGCCAAATACTATAGCGCAGCATGCGGCCTGAAATTTTTCATTTATTTACTTAGCAATAGTGCTGCCGATCTCGCAAGGAGACCATTGAAGGGAGAGCATACATAATACAAGTTACAAGGAGACAAAAACGAACAGAAAAACTATTAAGTTCACAGAAACTGCTCAGCATGTACATTTTCTTCTATCCTTCTAAGAACACATTTAAAGATGAGGCATCAGTAACAGGACGACTCGATTACATTCTCTTATGGTTTGCGGGAAGTATAAATATTTAAAGCAATTTGAATTCGAAGTGTATTCATTAAGTGTTTGTGAGTGCCTGCAATGTGTCAACCTAGAATGGCTGAAAGAGATCAGTTTTGACGTGTCGATGTTTATGTCACCATAAATTTATTGAAACAGAAACTAGTCTTGATATTTTTGCCCTACTTTGTAGCATTATTAGACAAGCTTTATTTAGTAAGTCGATAGGAGAATTCATTAAGTTTATTGTAAACAGACCTCACTGCCTTCCTCTGCACCCATCCTATTCTTGCGATTAGTTCTTTTGTACACAGAAACCAAGCAATATATGCATACTCTAACACTGGCCTAAAAAGCATCTTTTATGCCAGCAGCTTTGTATCTATCTGGGGGTGCCAGATGAATTTTTGAAGTCAGCTAAAACTTGCTTTCTCTTCTCTCGACAAATGACGCTACAAGCTCAAAATCATATGTCACAGCCATTGTATCAGCCATTGGTCGCTTTGAGCATGGCACGCTCGGTCGTTACGAGAGCTACTGTGGAAGGCTGCGACTTGTCCACGCATGCGCGATGCACTAAAAATCCAAGTATTTGAAGAGAAAAAATGAGAGAGAAGAAGTTTTTAAAGTCACGAGGCGCACGTGACATATTTTCTTTTCTCGTGCCATCCCTCCCTGCTTAGCTTCCAGCACTTTTTTCGGCACGAGAGAAGAGAATGCAGCATGCGACGAATCTTTGTAACTCTGCTCTCTGCTTGTACTGGACGGATTATAAAAACTTTTTCGGTGGTAATTTTGTGAGGCAATAAGCTCCTTTATAGTAGTGAATCTATTTCATGGCTACTTGAAAAGTGTTGCACGGCCTCTTTATTCATTGCTTATCAAATGTGCCACAAAATGAAAGGGTGCACATGAAAAAGACATGTACAATAAATACAGGCATAAAAGGGCGTTAGATTTCTCATGCAGGCTATCTTGCTCACATGATTCCCATGCAATTAAAGAATGAACATCTGGAGCACCTTAGCTTTGATATATGATGCACGATAACACACAATAAGTGCAGCTTTATATACTGCGAGATTCAGAAGTAAATACCCTCGCAAATGGCTACGCACTAATTGCTACATACATCGGCTGTTCCGTAAATGCAACCAGTCTTTTGAAGCTATTCCTATAACCATAGTTACAAATTATTCAGTATTAGGAGGTGCTGTTGCTGACCCCAAGCACCACTTCCCGTGCAAGACTGCACAGCAGCACGTTCTTTTTTTTTATGTGTGTGATAATTTCAAGCCATCAGAAAAATGTTCATCACTTGCAGGTGGCCTCCTTTTGCTATTTGAACTGTTCCAGATTAGCTTTTTTTATGCACAGCTTCGAAGCATGCAGGATTGACAAACCTTCTCTGCTTCCTTGGTGTCATCAAAAAGGCGTTTCTGCCTATGTGCAGGCATAGGACGTGCAGTCTCCCAAACCTCCTGCCAAGTGTTCCCTGGTAGCTGCATACGATGACTCAAGTGGCCCTCTTCTATCACTTGTCCAGTTGTCTGGTCCACTAATGGTGCAACCCAGTCACGTGGAGAGTACCAGCGCACAAAGTCACTCAGTGATGCTCCTGGATTGGCTGCCTGTGTACAAAAATGACATAAAACAGAGCACATTTTTGCATTCTGTTGCCTGTCACAAAGGTTCAAAAGCTCGAAAAGAGGTGTCGGGGTTGCTTGCTATAAAAAAAATATGTCTCCTTGGTGCAGTAATGCAAACTATGCATTGCATAAAACATTTACATTGTCACGAAAAGGCCAATGCTATAAATGCAAAAGCAACAAATGCAAATGTTATACAAAGCAAGCCCAACAGCTCACTCCTTTATTAAGCAACCTGGCACAACTCAAAATTATAGAGTAAAGAAACGTGGTCATTGCACTGAGCGAAGCTACCTATGAGTTGTTCATGACTTGAACACAAATGCTGCGATAAAAACACAACCTCTATAAAAATATCAGCTGTCTACTGATCCCTGTATAGATATGGGGCGTCCAATTGCAGGCGACCATGTTTGGCGGGTCAAAATGCTCATTTACTGCCGAAGCCCCAGAGATTCCCCTCCCCCTCAACTTTGAGATACCCTTTCATGCATCTTTCGTGTGATGAAGATGGCCAGCATGTTTTCTCTCCACCTGAGCCACAATCATCATACTCCTTGCATGCTTTCACTAACGTACAGGACATACAATTTGTGGGGTGATGCTATTCATTTAGGCTTCATGGTGAGGTCACCACAAAATCTCATGGTGACAGCAAGAATGTGCCTGGAGTGTCCATATATTTGCTTTTGCAATGAAAAAAAAAAGTCTACCATTACTCTTGAGTTTCGAATATGCCTATTCACAATTCAATGCATATGATATACAATCACACGTGCCCTAGCCATACATATTAATACCAGAGTGCAGTCTTAGACAGTAACAAGTTACTAGTAATGTGTTACCACTAACTAGTTACTTGAAGTTAAGAGTAACTTGCAACTGTATCACTGTTACTTTTTATGCCGCAACTGTAAGAAAAAGGACCCGACAAGCAAAAAAAAAAAAACAAAATAGATTTTATTGTTTGGTACAGTGGAGAGCAGGTCTTGCCGCCGCTGGGCTTAGCCCCGATGCGCGGTGCTATAGTGCCTAGAATGTACTTAGCGGTACTTTATGGTTTGGTTACAATGAACTACAGAAGTGTAGTGACGAGTGATCTTCCACAGAGCCGCAACTGTCGCACCTGACGTACGCGCGTGATCTAAAAAAAATTGCCTCTGCTGTGACGGCCACTTTTCGGGAGTATCGAGATAGCATTCCTACACTCGAGAGATTAGATCATATTCGGGAGTCTCCCACACTATTCGGGAGAGTTGATGCTATGTGGGGTTTGACGTCCCAAAACCACCATACGATTGGGAGAGATGCCATAGTGTAGAGCTCCAGGATTTTCGACCACCTGGAATTTCTCCAAATCTGAGCACACGGGCTTTGCCGCAGCCGGGATTTGATCCCGCAACCTGCGGGTCAGCAGACGAGTACTTTAGCCACTAGACCACCGCGGCGAGGCAATTCGAGAGAGATGGCAGGTAAGACGAAAAAGTCACAGCTTTGCCTCGAAGGCGAAGTAATGAACGCGATAGCAAAAAATTGAAAGGTGACGCAAAAAATGGCAAGCAGATCGAAACGTGCCCCGCGTTTCCCACGCACAAATGACACACGAAACGTACTTACAGGTACAGATGAACGCAACTAAGCGTCTCAGTTGTTACTTAGCCGTGTCAGAAAAGCATGCCCTTTCCGCAAACAGAGACTCTGCAACGAGTGCAGTGACCTTTGTGCGCCCGGTAACTACAACAGAGTCATTCCGGTGAGAGCCCAAGGCGTATGATCCTCCCCACAGTGAGATAAGGAGGCGCATATGAGCGTATGAGCATATGAGCCCCCTCCTCTTTGCGGGGCAAAGTACATGTGGAAGATGAGAGAGCGCGGCACCGCGTCATGACGATCTGGCGATGCGCGCTTATTACGCCATTTCGCTGATAGTGCTGAAAACACGCCAGTTTCCCTGAGATGGCCGTCGGCAGCGGTAAGTGGTAGATATAAACAGTTTGCCATTTGAATGGTGAAGGAGGTGCTCCTTTGTGGCTCAGTGGCTGACACCTCGCACTCACAATTCAGAGGTCGGACGTTCGATTACACACGCCGGAGCTGTTACTGGATTACTTTTCCTGCTTGCATTGATATGTATACATATACGGCGAATGACGGCGATGCTGGCGGCAAAATACAGTGAAGAGTGTCGATATAATTGTTATTGCAATAATAGAGTACATGAAGGTTTGCGGTCCTTGCGGTCGCCTGCTATTTCCGTCCCTCAACGAAAGCCTGCAAGAGGTTAGTGTACGACGCATGCACAATTGTGGAAGATACAAAGCTTTTCGTATTCTGTTCTAAAACTGTCCGATGTGTCACTTTGCAATCTCCGCATATCGTAATTTTAGATGATCCCCCCCTGATATTGTTCGCAGGTGTGTGGTTTTTGGGTCTCGCGAACACATGTTCCAAGGTATAGCAGGGCTTACAAACGGCTTGTATGCCTAGCCAGGGCCTCCTCTATTTTTTTTTTTTTTTTTTTTTTTCAGTGCCCGGGCAAACCTCTCTTCAGGTCGTCGAGCGCCCGCTCCTCCTCCGCCCGCAGCTGCCGCACAGTGGCGTTGCGCGAGTAGACTATGGGATGCTGGTGCTGAACGGCCGCATGTATTAGGAAGCTTGCAAATTCGTGTTTTCATGCCCATTAATTTGCAGTCGTGCTTCATGACAGCTTCACGGATGCAGGGAGGATGGAAAGTAACACGAACATAGTGGCGCGCTGTTTTCACCGGGCTCTGTCAGGCTGTGCTCCGGTTTGATATATGCGTTCGAGTTTTACAGCATTCGTTTTATTTTCTTTTTTAAGCTATAGAAACGCCATTATCTGCATGCATAAGTATATAATACTGCTGTGGACCACTCTGCATATCTGAAAAAAAAAAAAAAAGATTGTCTTTTTTTTCCATTTCTCATTAGTAACAAAAGAAAAAAAAAACCTCGCTGGTCCTCTTATGAATTCACCTGAGATGACTTGTTTTATTTGTTTGTAGCCTGGAATCCATGGCACATACCCACTCAAAGGGATCGGCCAAGAAAACATACAGTATTCTATAGACCGTAACTGCACTATTGCTTACATTAAAAAGAAAAGAAAAAGATGTAGAAAGAAACATTGTAAAAGAAACAGATTCAAAAAGGAGAAAAAATAAAATAATCACTAATATAATAAGTATACCTTGATTTGGGGAGCTCACCAGACAGCTGACTGTGTAAAACCCGATTAAATTGGGATGTATGTCTCATATTTATTGACATTTGAAAATTACTTCTCGACTCTTCTTTTCTTTAGTATTTGTTAAAAGGGACCTTATGCTGAAATACGTTTAGTGTCTGCAATAAAATTGCACACCGCATTAAATACATCTCAGTGAAGATTTCCCAAAACGAAGGCACTAAAATTTAGAACAGTTTCTGTGGTTAAACTTAAACCAAGCTTTGCAAACGGAATAGCTAGAAGTATTTTCCTAATTATACTGCATAGTTACGACATGAGACAAAATAATGTTCAATAGTTTCCAATTTTTTGCAGAACGGACAAAGAGGGGAGAGTGACCAGCTCTGTGTAAATAAAAATTTAATGGGGGTACCCGGCACCAAAATCTGGAGATAATTTTTTTCGACAGACTCCACTAAGATTTCCATGGAAATTTGAGATGGCTGAAAGGCAAAAACTATCCTCGTTTTCTTCCGATTCAATGCACTAAATGTTTCCTACTTCCCTCCGGGATATATCTGCGTTCAACATGGTTTTCTTACTGCCTCGAGAATTGGACACAAAGCTAGCTTTCTGCCCCTCAGCTGGTTATGCACTGCCCTCTTGATCAGCCCATTTCAACCAAGCGAAGATGTTATATGATGCTATCAAGTTATGTGACCTTCCGATACATCACAAAGATTTATGATATGTGACGTCATATGATGACGTTTTTACGTAATGATAATTTCTTGCATCGCTCGTGTTCACGACGCCGACGCAAAAAAACACCGGATGCCGCCGGCGATCAATTTTCGCTTTTGATGAGACATTTAAAGCTATTGCCTTAATGCACTGTATGGCTGCAGCTCTATGAAATTGCAGCTCCCGCTGGTTTTCGGGGGAGCATGCTTGCAGTAATCAGGCAGAACAATTGTTCTCATAATAAATCTTCGTGCTACACTCTAATATGTAGCCGTCATTTACAACCCGAGTATTATACCGATTATGAGTAGTGGCGGCTGAAGACTACCCGTCACGTTTGGCAACATGGCAACTGGAATCATTAAACGGGAGTGCGCTGCATTCGAACAGTCAACAAATGAGTCTATCAGTAGCAACGCTGCCTTGCGATCGCTGCTGTGTGTAACGCTAACATTACGCCCCGAAGCTGAATGGTAGCCCTTGGGCACCACACATTCATTTGGCGTCTATTCTACTCGCTACCGAATTAAGATGCCAGAGGGAAGCAGAAAGAAACAGAGCTGAGCAGCCGGATATTAAGGCTAGAACAATCCGTCCATGAATTATACACAGACAAGCTCAAGCAACTGACCACAGGCTACATTTTTCACGCCTGTCACCTTGGCTCAAGTTAAGTGTCAGCATTAGACTTCAAATTTTAACAGCGCCTGTTCAAAACACAGGCAACCATCGCAGAAATCACGCCGCATTTGGAGCTGTTTTTGTCTATTTTACAATGATTTTATTGTTTAAGCTCTCAAATGGTGAAATCACCTGCCATATTTCCTCATATTTTGACACTTGCTTTTTCTCGGTAACAACACATGTCAGGCTTTGCGAAGGGAACGGATGATGACCTATATCCCTGGAAGCAGTCTAGTGGCATTTTGTGCTGTTTAGTGCATGAACTCCAGGCTTGCGCATAATATCCTATGCCACTAGAGAGTAGTAAGCATCGGGGACATTAGGCACCCAAGCTTTTAATATTAGCTCCTCGCAAAGGCTTCTCTCAAAAATTGACTTTCAGTTAGTCAAAAAAGCAATTCTCAGTCAAGCGAATGCCACAATGACAAAACAATCTTCCGCGAATTACTGGCATGACCTATATGATATCGGCCTAGCAGACGACGGGCGAGCGCCTCGATCAAGTAGTGGCGAACGACTCAAGCCTTTGAAATGAGCTGAGTACCCAGAATAACAAGTGCTTCACGATTCTCGTTTCCAAGTGACCATTACACCTTAAACAATGCGATTACAGCCGAAAACCGAGCCGTATAGCAGCTTCGGATGCAGCCGCGGCATTTGTTTTTTGTTTGCGCGAAAGACGACGCGGCGGCATGCCTACCCCAGTTGCGGCGCCTGGCGGCGAAACACCGCACTAGCACTGACGGCCGCTTCCCATTGAAATCCACTCCTTAGCATGGGCACTGAAAAAAAAAAAAAAAATACGGAGGCGCTGGCCCAGCAGATACAAAGTCCTCAGATAATGCAGGGTGACATACACCTTGCAGAACATAGTCAACAGACTCAATGGATATCATCTTCACTCGTTTGCACTCCCCATTACTGTTCGTACATTCTATTAAATAAATTCTATCATTTGGTACGTAATCAATGACCTATTTAACATGGAAACGAAAAAGTAACGTTACTTTTTAGTAGTAGTAGTAGTAGTAGTAGTAGTAGTAGTAGTAGTAGTAGTAGTAGTAGTAGTAGCAGAAGCAGCAGTCAAGCAGGCCATATGTGACCACAGTCCCCAGGCAGTAAATAAAGAAACAAATAAAATGAAATGATGGTGACGATGACTTTTAAAGAAAAATACAAAAAACGCAATCTGCTCTTTCATTGTGTACATTAATCAGGGACCTACATTAATTATAATGAATATCAGATGACCAGAGTATTTCAGGAGTGAATAAAAAGAGCAACTAACAAAAAAGCGATTCGCACTTTCATACATTAACTAGACACCTACATTAATTATTATGTAGTGGTGACGTGGACGAAGGCAGAGACGCAGAGTTTCCAAAAGGAAACTTATTTATTTGGCCGAATTGGCGGCCGGCAAAACGGCAAGCAATGCGCGCTGCACACTCATATCGGCGCACGGAGCGTCGGTGGCGGATAAGACTGACCAGCGGTGAAGCGCGACGGCGAAAGTTGCAGAAGAGAGTAATGTTCGCGTTGGGCTCGTAGTCGGACAGCAGGGTTCCAAGATTATCTCGATGATTCTTAGTCACACAACGCGGTTAACGCAACGCAGAACTTACACGCGAAATGGGCCGATAACAAAAACTTGAGACGGGAGTGTGGTGTTATAAGAAACCCTACATGACCACAGTCTCTGGAAAGTAAATAAAGAAACAACTAAAATGAAATGATAATGATGCTGCTTTTTTTTTTAATCAGACGAAACGATGATGATGCTGGTGCTCGAACTGGTAACTTTTGTTACAAAATACCGAAAATCCACACTTCCATTATTTACATTATTTAGATACCTGTTATTTATATTTAATCAAGGCAAGACAGAATAATTTGCATGTTACTATATTAATTAGATACAGTAACCGTAATAAACCAAGGCACGGCCCCCTGGGAGCACCCGAGGGTCATGTTAACAAGGCCAGATAGCCGCTGCATCGGTGGCACATCATATGACGTGAAGCGTTCGGTGAAATGCCACTGCCTAGCCCGCAGTTCACGTGATCTCACATTATTCAATCAAGTGCAAGCGCGCGTATTTCAAACCTAACGGCGGATTTAAATACCACGAGACCTCGTTAGGCGATAATCACACTCGCGCGCTTACAGTTTCGCTGTCAGACGGTTTTGTGTGCACCTATGATCGTCACGCAATGGCTGGTTAAGTTGACACACACACACTGCGACCCCGGCGAGGAACGCACGCTGCCACTAAAACTCCTCGCTGCCGCAGCCGTGCACACCATCACTTCTTAAACTGTCTGCATTAATAAAACATGCAGCAGTTACAATGGAAGTGCACAGGCAACGTTTCCACGCGTTGTTACAGAGAATGACCACCGACGTGGAAGGCTCACCTTGAAGGCCTCCATGTCGGAGAAGAGGCAGGCGCTCTGCATGCGCGCACGCAGCACAGCACCTTCGGGGTTGCTTCCCAGCTTGACCAGTGCTTCAGCGTGCTGCTCCAGCATGTCCTCCGTCATAGGAGCCGGCTCCTGCAAGCGCCAAAGAGAGCTTGCACTCGGTCTTCTATGGACGCAGTTTAATACGCGCGCATTCCCAAGAAAAGATTAGTTATGAGCGTAGGCGATCGCTGTTAGATTGATTTGTGGGGTTTAACGTCCCAAAACCACTATATGATTATGAGAGACGCCGTAGTGGAGGGCTCCGGAAATTTTGACCACCTGGGGTTCTTTAACGTGCACCCAAATCTGAGCACACGGGCCTACAACATTTCCGCCTCCATCGGAAATGCAGCCGCCGCAGCCGGGAATCGAACCCGCGACCTGCGGGTCAGCAGCCGAGTACCTTAGCCACTAGACCACCGCGGCGGGGCGCGATCGCTGTTAGAGAAGGGGGAGGAGTGGAATGGGGATCATCGAAAAGGGCCGCCAAGCGAGCCCTTCACTCATTCGGATCTATCTCGCAAGGTTACGGCCGTGCGGGCTTTTGACGGCAATGGCCACTAAGGCCCCGTGATCCCAAGAAGCGTTTACTTCACAACTTTGCCCTCAAAATACCGGTGACTAAATGATAATGTTTTTAACTTAAGCACCTGAAGTTCTGCCGCTGATCAAAGCCATGCCGTTGTGAGCAGCTTGTCATCGCTTGTATTGCAGTAGCACGGATAATTCGACTAGTTGGTATTGATTCATTTTAGGACCGGATAAGGCGCGCACACAAACGCACGAAGGAAACTAACACCACGGGCGCCCGTGTGTTCAGCGTTCCCTTCTTGAGTCCGTGTTTATGTGCGCGCCTTATCCGGTCTTTAAAATTGTCATCGTTTAATTTTCATTTGTGCCGCCATTGCAAAGCTTGTTTACCTCAATAAGAGGGGACGGGGGGAGGGTGCATTCTCAGGGGTTCCTTATTAGGCGTCGAAATTTCGCTCCGCCCAATGGAAAACCCTTCGCACACCCATATGGTTATGAGACACGGGCGAATATACCCCACACGAGCTTTTATTTTTTCGGGGGGGGGGGGGGGGGGGGGGGGACTGATCACTCGTAAAAAACAGGCTATGCTGCGGCCAGCAACCGAACTTAGGACGTCGTACTCAGCTCCATTGAGCCACGCTGACGCATCTTCGATTGAACGGCAATCTTACAGCTGCTATATCCTAGAACCTGAAGCTGATCTAGTCTATAATCTATAATGTTTCAGATCTGACCGATAGCAATCGAGCAGAAGCGTTCCAAAATAATAGTGACCAATCAAAGTTGCCCAAGTTAGAGCGGAGCTACGGATGTGTTCACCCTTCATTAACTACAAACAGCGTCTGGCGTCGAAGCACCCTAGTTGAAGAGGCGCAAACGTCGTACCTGCGTGACAGGAATGTAGAGGGGCTCGCTGCTTCCAAGCAGCGTCATGTCGCCACACCGCCGCAGTACGCCCTCGCGCCCCGCTTCCTGTTCACCTGGGAAGCACAAACAGAACCGCTGCACTTGCCGCGTGTGCGACACCAAGAAAGGACGATACAAAATGGGTGCAAGAACAATGCGACAGGAACAACCTGTGCTGCTTGTCGCACACTCCTTCGAGCCGTTTCCCACGATGGCGGTATTGTCCCCGAACTCGCCCCTGTCACCTTCTGCGGCGACGTCGTCAGGACACTCGTAGAATATATCCTCGTCGCTTTCGCTTGACCCCGACTTGGGCTGGGAGCCAGACTCGTCCGCAGCGCGCCGGTCTCGTTTCTTCTTCCTTTCGATGCAGTAGTTCAGCATCTGCGAGCAAACGAGCCGAGCCGACGTCGCCGTCTCAATCTGCACGACCCTCGATAACGGTCCGAGCGAGAGAGTTAACGACCAAAACGAGCGAGGGAGCACAACTCATTCGTTGCATCTTAAACAACACACTGCCAGCATATATGCACCCGGAGAGAACGCCGGCGTGCCTGAATCACACAATCCGACTATTCGGGACAACCAGAAACGACTTGATAGTCAAATGACAAATATACACCACCACTTCTGAACTCCCAGTATCCGTAAAATACCAAACCGATTGCTCTCTCACGAATCTTGTCTTTTATACATACTAGTCTTTGTTCACGTGTATTTAATCTTCTATTTAATTCGGCTAAGTATTTATTCGGCACCATTTCTCTGGATTTCACCACTCCTGTTTATAAAGCGTAACGGTATGTTCTTGCTTGTTGTCAGCGACTATTGAGTGGCTTTGTCGAAGAAAGAAACTACTTATCAATGCATACGTATTCTATTTTATATCTGCGAGTCTCTCTTATTTGTATTATTATATTCTGCCTTCGTAGAAGACGCACACCTTCAGTAGCCATTTTTGAAGTTGAACGTGACTGACCTTTCGCACGCGTATGTGCGTGTGGTATCGAATAAACTTTGACTTCGAATATACAGCCTCTAAGCTGTCTAAATTATCATGTACAGTAAAGGGTAGCACAGCCCACCGTACACACGTACATTCCCCGGACACGTAAATATTGAAGTTCAAGAGTATCAGGACCAAACTGAAAAATATGAATGTACCTCTAAATCCTTGGCTCTTAGAGGGCCACTTGATTTGGCTCATAAGTGATTTAGCCAGTGACATTATAGACAAACACTAGTTTAACAAAACTAACTTTCTGACAGTATACGAAAATAATTATCAAGTCCAGGGTTCGAAGAAACATCGCCTGGCGAGGGGCATACATTTCTTGCAAATAAACGAACCAAACGCAACGAAAAAAAAAAAACTTTGCAAATTTGGCGACTGTTCGTTTATTTGCAAGAATTTGATTATGCGTTTTCGTTATGCGTCGATCCCTTCTAAACCAACAAATGTGTGTAAGCAAATGCCACGATGTACCTCTCTGCTTATACGATGAGCGCATGAGGTTAACAGTTATATGTGTACTACAGAGAGCGGCTATCGCTAAGTGACCCATGTATTCTGCTTGCTGCATTCACGCTATCGGCAGTGGGTTCCACGTAGGCGTGTTTGAACATGCACTAATTAATACACTGAAATTAAGCTTGCTGCAGTAGCGGATGTTGATAATAATTGATGGGGTTTAAAGGGGCCACGAAACGTTTCCCGGAAATTTTTCAACTACGTGTGCTAAGAATCCTGACCATCCATTCGATACTATACCTCGACTCCTTTCATCGTCCAGGTTCATTCAATAGCTATAAAAAGACAATTTCAATTTCCCGCTCGCGTTCCCCTCAACTGTACATCTGATATCCCATTAAGTCAGCCAATGAACAGTCTCTGACGTCGACAAAGCGTGGCGACACCGCTATGTTTGCTCAGTCATAGTTGACCGAGGTTCGTAGCATCATATCGTTTCGATTGCGGCGCCGCAAAGCCGTCACGAACGTTGTTTCCACTGTCGAGCGGCCCAAGGTGAGCGGCACCGTCTGACAACGCACAAGGCAGGCATCGCGAGGACTAAGCCACCCAAAACACGCCGTGAAACTCAACCTAACGCACCCAGTAAGAAAAACTAGCAGTTGTTTCATGTACGATTTCAACTGATGAGCGACCGTCGTTCGAAATGGGAAGCAAATGACTATGCGCCTAATCTCGCTGCTGGCTTTCATGAAGGCGGTAGGGTGGGGAGCGGGTGGGGAGAGCGTTTGCTGCGCTCAGTGGAGGGAACGGCTGGGCGAGTGAGTGCGCGGCGTAGCGAGAGCCATCTGCCGCCGCGCCTGCGCTCGCCGGCAGCGCAAACCCGTCGTGTTGCTCGGCGCTTCAGGCCGGCCGTTCCATGCGCTCGCCGCACAGCCGCAACGCACGTGCCGGCACACCTGCCGCATCCATGCAGAGAGTGAAAGAGCGTATTTGTACCCCTCTTGCGTTTAACGTGCCAAAACCACCATATGATTATGAGAGAGGCCGTATAGTGGAGGGCTCCAGAAATTTCGACCACCCGGGGTTCTTTAACGTGCAACCAAATAAATCTGAGCACACGGGCCTACAACATTTCCGCCTCCATCGAAAATGCAGCCGCCGCAGCCGGGATTCGATTTCGCGACCTGCGGGTCAGCAGCCGAGTACCTTAGCCACTATAGACCACCGCGGCGGGGCTGGGTACGCCTCGACAATTTCGCCTTATGTTTTCGTTGTTCCTTTTTTTTTTTTAGAAAAGCGGTGTTCTGAAATAAATGCACATTGCTTGCAATCTTCTGCTAAGTGGCTACCATCATCCTTGTTGACATCACTACTGTGCTGCCTAGCCTTGTCATTAAAGTCTACGCCCCTGCCACGGAGTACCGAACCCGCGTCTTCGTGCTTACTAGCAGAACGCCGCGACCTTTGAACTATACCACAGCGAGGGAGGGGATGAGATGGAGAAGAAGAGAACATTTCGCAGTAATTTTCCGTCTTATGCCAGTCACTACTTACTCGTGCGCTTTGCTAACGCTCTCGTATTTCAACGTCGTCGGCATCAAGCCTGACGAAACACACGCCACCGCACGCGGTCAACCAGTCCCCAATTTCTTCACGAGCAGCCGTACAAGGGAAGCGCGCGTGACACACGGAGCAAGCCGACAGGAGGCGGGGCTGTCACGCAACGTCCGAGCGTGAAGGATGCACCGCAACCTAACCGTGCTCTTGCCGGTTTGCACGAGAACGAAGAGAGGCAGTGTGGACAGCCCGAGATGGCGCATACGCTGGTCCCGTCAGGCGAGTGTTGCACGCGCGAGGCTTGCAACGGCTTGCGAGAGAGGCGCTGGACAAACAATAGGACGGTTACGCGCGATTACTTCCAATTAGTAAATTGCTGTCCCACTCGCGCGCTTCACCACGAAGAAGCGAGCAGCCCGCTGATGCCGACCGCTTAGCTCACGCGCACAGAGCATCCCTATAGAGTCGCCGCTCTATTCACGCACGGCACTTGCACACACTGATAGCATGATAATGACAGCGACTCGTTCCCTTCTTACTATACCACAGCAGCCTACTTTTCCAACTGCCGCATTATGCCTATATACCACCGATGGCCATGCTCGAAACTCCGCTTTTGCTACATCACGCAGGTTTTCATACTAATACGCAACATATTCTCTTAGGTGGGGGGGGGGGGGGGAAGCTTTACGCAGAATCCCTGCCACCTTTGCTAATTTGATGTGCGCAGCTAAACGGATATCAGCTGCGATAAAAATTCAGCAATGTCACTAATTAATCAGCATAAACTAATCGTGCAATTTCACCATTGCCAACTTTAGGGCGCTAATAACGAAAACTGAAGTCAGTGATTAGCGACACTATGCTTGCTTAGCGAAAATCTTGTTTCCGAAATTACTTTCGTAACCTTAAAACGGCCCTGCCGCGGTGGTCTAGTGGCTAAGGTACTCGGCTGTTGACCCGCAGGTCGCGGGTTCGCATCCCGGCTGCGGCGGCTGCATTTCCGATGGAGGCGGAAATGTTGTAGGCCCGTGTGCTCAGATTTGGGTGCACGTTAAAGAACCCCAGGTGGTCGAAATTTCCGGAGCCCTCCGCTACGGCGTCTCTCATAATCATATGGTGGTTTTGGGACGTTAAACCCCACATATCAATCAATTAACCTTAAAACATGATACGAAGCACAGTGACTGTTCCAGTAAACAGGTTCCCAAAAGCTTGCCTCGAGAGTTGAGTGATTTCTCCTGGAACACGAATAAAATAATTAAGGGGCACCGACACGGTCACCCAATTAAGAAACAGCGGTTTTCAGCGAAATAGACGTAGAGGGTCTATTATGTCTACATTTATTAAAAAAAAATAGACTGTAAAAGAATATTTAAGTGCAAAAAAAAAAATACCCAGCGGCGACTGCCATTCTGACATGACATGTGTGACGTCATGTTGCATGCACGGAGCGGCGTCATGGGTTTCTACCAGTCTGAGCCACTGCAAATCGTTCAATTTCGCTACCAAGCTGAATAAGCTGTAAATAGCTCCACTGTACGCACACCTAACAACGGAACGAAGCTGATTGATTTGTGGGGTTTAACGTCCCCAAACCACCATATGATTATAAGAGGCGCCGTAGAGGAGAGCTCCGGAAATTTCGACCACCTGGGGTTCTTTAACGTGCACCAAAATCTGAGCACACGGGCCCAACATTTCCGCCTGCATCGGAAAATGCACCCGCCGCAGCCGAGATTCGATCGCACTACCTGCGGGTCAGCAGCCGAGTGTACTTAGCCACTAGAAACGGAACGAAGTCGTTCGCCGGAATGCAGACGCTCGCACAGCAAGCAGCTTGTTACATCGCGGCTCGCGAAAGTGCCAGTGTCACCCGACTTACAGGCCACTCACATTTATAAAAATACTCAATTATAGATCAAGTGCACGACCAAACACGCAAAATTTTCGCGAGCTTACTTGCGAACGCACGAGGATGAACCCATAAGTTAGAGATTATGATCGTAGATAGAGTGTAATGGCCTCGGAGACAGACATATAACGAAAGTGATACGCTATATATATATTATGGCAGTTGCGCAGAAAAAAAAATGACTTAGGAATCGACTTCGGAAAATTACTGAAAAATTATGCCAAGCAGGCATTACTTCACTACTACAAAGTTACAACTTTAGTGACCGTAACACGAATACTAATGTAACTAAATATTCAATTACTATAACTAAGTTAATTAGTTAATTTAGTTTCTTTTCTGTAAAACCCAGCCTACCTCAGAAAAAAAAGCAGCTGCTTTTATAGATAAGACATTCACTATTTAAAGTATCCCTTATATGCGTTCACTAAGCCTCAGAGGCTTTGCACACTGCAGGCACATCTTTCCATTAAATGTAATTAAGTGTATCATCATCGTCATCATTAGAGACCAGATTATAGGCAAATGCCTATCTTGCGTTCCTATCGTGCCGCTTTAATATATGAGCACGAATTAGAAGCTAAGAAGAGCTATTATAGTGTTTTTATAGTACCTATAAGTGCCTATTTTCGACATTTGTGCATAAATTCCTATAAGTGCCTATAAATGCCTATTTTCGAAATCAGTGCTTACAAGAACGCCTTTTAACCTCAAATGTTGCTCTCGAGTACAGTTGGACACCGGTATTTATGTTACCAGGCAAAAGTGAACTTTCGGAGCTCTATGGGACGCCATTTATACTTGATCTCATAAGTTCCTTTCAGTACTCTCAAGGCTACCAGGTCTCTTAGCTTATCGAAAGGCTTACTAGCTTCTGCACATGAAATTCATCCGCTTCGCGTCGTCTGCTCGGCATCTCCCAGGCGTCTGCTCGCATGCGTAGGGAACAGGAAGTGCTTCTGTGCAGCCGCACGAGGATGAAGAACAAATGTGAAACAGAGAAGTGTCATCAGGGGGAAAGTATAGATAAAAAATTTGACCACGCGGTTCTTGCTTTTTTTTTTCATTAAGTTCTTAAAAGGCGCTTCATTAGGTCAAACGAGAAATTTTACTTAGACCCTGAAAGTTGTTGCATGCCCAGTGAACAGCTACAATTTTTCGAATTGGTTGATTACAAGCCGCGAAAGCACGATGAAAAGAAGTGTACTTGAAACCTTTGCCACTCGCCCGGTGTAGACTTTGCAAGTGAAATTCTTTCCTTGCCCTCTTCGGTATCGGATCAATGCGGAGCCGAAAGATCCCACGACAGAGACACATCAACATGTCATGCACACGTAAGGTTACATTCGCATCACATGCGCATGCCAGATCATGCACTCAGGCAGTGTTGTCGTTTCGACGGTCTGTGTACACTGTATTGTACTGCTTGTTTCTGTGGGATGGATTCCTTCGTGCGCGCACGTTTGCGTAGGCTGGCATGAAGCATGTATTCCTACCACGATACACAGCATTGCACCACTGGAACCAAAAACAGGCCAAGCGTTGTGAATGCTGGCACCGGAATGATACGAAAACGGCGAGAATGCCAACGTAAACGAAATCGAGGCAGCTCAGTCTCGCACTTCCTCCGTGGTCTCACACCACGCCCGATACAAAGTAAAAAAAAAATGACGCGCATTAATTCCGTTTGTCTGTTTTAACATTTCGTCAATCTTCATACTTCTATTCAGGCAACAAATAGCACAAATTACACATGTCGCCTCACAGATTCACGAACTACTTTTTTTTTTTTTTTTACCTGAGACTCATGGGCGCGGACATCTTGGGCAACTAGATCGACGTTTTCTTGTTACATCGTGTGCGCCAACTCAACCGTTTTAGCATGTATGCGTCCACTGTAACACTGTTCGTTTAGTTGTTAAAGATGCAAGATACGAAAGTTAACAGCCCAGCATGGAGGCACGGAAACCCTTCCGCAAAATCTTGGAGTAAGGAATGAGTAAAGTAGTCTATACGTCACCTCCAACATGCTGGGCGCGCGCCCGTGAATTGAAGGTTAAGGGGCGTTCAGTCTGACATCACCCATTTCCGGGGCGCCTATAGCATAGTAAGTCTTTGCAGATGAGATCGTGAGCGCCCAGTGAATGCATTCTTCTTGCCTGCTCGAAATTCTCGAACTTGATTAAGAGTCCTTTTAAAGTGTTCACAGACAGAAGAGAAATTAATCATGTGCTTGTTGGACCAAGTTAATGCGAAGCAAAAAGACCATCCGGCCTGGTAGCGCTTTGACTGTTTGCTGCTGTGTTGCCCTTTTCAGCCATGCCGAAAATAGACCCAAGAGCTTGTTCGTTCGACGGGGGAACTTTTAACTGGCCGCTCTGGACTAGGAAAGCAGAGGCCATATTCTGCAATCCCCATGGGGGAAAAAAAAATGTGCGCCTATGCTAAAGCATCGGCGCCTTTGTACCATTATAAACTAAAACATTCCTGTTTGCTTTCTTCTCGTATACACAGATCTCACATGCATTTCTTCGAAAGTTTGAATTTTGTCAAACTTTAATGTGCCTATAATTATAATTTTGGGCGCCTAAAACAGTCTTTTGTCTGCCGATTTTTGGCGGCTAAAACACGGTTTTTTAGAGCCTATAAATCCGGCCTCTAGTCATCATGATGACTATACCCACTGCAGCCGGACCCTATCCCATCTTTCGCTTACATTAACTTGGCCCTTTACTTGTTGCAGCCACGTTAATTCTAGCCTGCCCGCCCAACTTCCTGCCTCCCCTTCGCGCGCTTGCCTTCTCTTGGAATCAAGCCTGTTACTCTCAATGACCAGCGGCCATCTTGCATATACGCGCTTAGACGTGACGCATAACACGGCACACCCACAACTCGTCTGACGACGACAGCACCACCACCATGCCAAGAATATAGCAGTTATCCGATACAAGCAGCTATTACAGTATATCGTCGCATACCTGAAGCTTTTGGTGGAGAATGGAAGCAGCCAGGTTGGGTGCGCCAGGCTCGAGGCTGTGTAACGAAAAGTGAAACAGAGAAGGCACTCAAGTTTGACCCCACAAAACACAAACGCCATTCCACATCAAGGTATAAGTTGATAACTATAGAAACTGTTGCCGTACAGCAAGTGTTACGTACATGTAAAATGTCCTCGAATTCGAGGACATTTTGTTATCTCACCGCAGAATTTTCATGTTGTCATTGTTTCATAGCATTCATTAACACCACCCGACATTACCTATAAACTTTTAACACCCACCTTCATTTCTACACGCCTTCACCATAGCAATAAAGTGGGTATACACACACGTCACTCTAAAATGTGCTCATCTTCATTTAATCCTAAGACCTATATAATGACTAGAACCACATTGCCGGATCAATAGCTTCTATACTAAACATTGTTCCTTTTCGTAAATCATTAGGTAACATTGTGTAACCAGGAACCCATGTACAACCAAGGACTACACGCAAAACATCATCAGTCGTGGCCAATGAGCCAACATTGTGTAACCCAGGAATTTCAACTATCTCTTTCTCTACGTTACCACTCCTCTCTACTACACCACGCAGACTCGTTAGTATAATACAACAAAAATAACATAGATAAATAACTCAATTTTTGCCCCCTCAAAAAAAGAACAGTAAAATATTATGAAACGAATATAATTATTAAAGTGATTGATTATTGAGATTAAGGTAAGTTTCTGTGAAGTATCAAAAGTTAAATCAGCTTATCAGGAGGACTACCACAACTCTGCATTATTTTTGTGCGCACTTTATCACACAAAATTATACGTCGTGTGGACGTATTAGCAACTCGACGTCACTATAGCAGTCGGCGACAAATACTATACCTGTACACATATTGTATCGGTGTACGAATATCCAAAACTTTCAATTATCTAATCAAGTACTGTCCTTCCGGTTAGCTCTTCCGATCAAAACGTCACAGCAGGCGTAAGCACGAACACTTTTTAAATAGTTCTTGAATACTTCAAATATCCAACCACACGCACTCAAGCGTGCAAGTTGAACGAAAGTACAACTAATTTGTCCATGAATAATGAAAAGGTACGAGCGCAGCAGGACGAGCCACTCAGAGAGCAAAGCACGTCCGGATCATTCTCCATACAGGTATGAGAAGAAATTGCTTATTTGGTCCGAAGGACCCATTTGTGTCATTGATATGTGGGGTTTAACGTCCCAAAACCACTATATGATTATGAGAGGCGCCGTAGTGGAGGGCTCCGGAAATTTCGACCACCTGGGGTTCTTTAACGTGCACCCAATTTTGAGCACACGGACCTACATTTCCGCCTCCATCAGAAATGCAGCCGCCGCAGCCAGGATTCGATCCCGCGACCTGCGGGTGTCAGCAGCCTAGTATACCTTAGCCACTAGACCACCACGGCGGGGCCCCATTTGTGTCAAACAATAAGTTTCATTGTACTAAGGGCCACTTCCTAACGTTATTTGCATGAAGACATCAGCTGTGTTTTATGTTTATAATGATGTGGAAATAAGTTTCTGTAAATTAATTACCAATGAAACCATCAATTGAAAAAAAAAACAGTCCCTATTCGACTCCCGTCAGCGCTACTTGATTTGAATTCGATTCACCATACAAATTCCCACATATCCGCACTCTTCTATTCATCTAAAAAAAAGTACTACTAGAGTACAAAACATTTAGCGTAAAATAACTGAACTATAAATCCAGTATTACACTCATACCTCGATAAAACCCAGATATAACGAAATATAGGTTATAACGAAGTAAATGAAGAATAGTCTTGCAATATGTAGTGTTGAACATATACGTTTATAACAAATTTCCAGATATAACGAACTTATTTTCGTGCAAGATGCAGCTTTGTTAAGATGAGGTCTTGAGTGTACACAAAAATGTTCCCGAAGGTAACTTCGAGTCGGGCAAGAAAGACACTAGAATTTAATCAAGCCAAAGAGATAGGGGGCATTAGGAAAAAAAAAAAAACATTACACGATTAATCACCGCCATGCGATAGGTCACGTAACAGAAGAATCGGTTGAAAAATGTCTTTCTACTGTTTTCGTAGACTACGAAAAGCACCGGAACGATCACAGCGACCAGCAATTTTAGCGACATATGTACGGCGTCAACGAGTACCGGAAACATTCTAAATACTTCAGCCTACATCTATTAAGTTCTCGTTGCTACCTTGCTTCTCCACGGCAAGCGCAAAAAAAAAAAAAAAAACATCGAGAAAGTGGTCAGGCGAACAGGTACAACATATCTAGTGTTTTATTCACTCTGTGCTTTAATTAAAGTATTCAAGTGACTCAAATAGAGTCATAAATGTTAGCGGAGAGTATCTCAGCAACGTATAAGGCTTGCAAAATGACTCAGTGTTCTTCAGCAATAGTGGTGATGAACTGCAACAAACAAATCGAGGACCACTGCAGGGAAAGCGTTGAAGTTGGGCTGAAGATATGCAGGCAGAAGTCACATGAAATTCTCGATGGTTTGGCAGGAGAACAAGAATTTCAAGATTCGAAACTAATCCCTATAGTACCTGCGCAAAAGCGTCCCTTACTAGGCCCCTTACTAATATACTATTGGAAAACAAGGATGCGCTAGAACTTATATGGTCGACATTCCCAAATTATGACCGGCAACTTACCGCTGTCCCTGTAGTTGAAAGTGAAAAGGCCTTGCATTTCACCGGTATATTGACATATGGGCTAGTATAACATGGAGGATAACAAAGAAACTTGAGAAGCAGTTAAATATACTACAGAACGTGCTTAGGAACAAAAAATAAAAGCTGTACGTTACATTAAGATACCGAAATACAGCAAAGTGAACCAAACAACAAACAGGGGTAGCCTATATTCTAGTTCACATTAAGTTAAAAAATGGAGCTGGGCTTACCACGTAAAGTGCACAGGACCAACTAGAAATACCTTGTGGTCAGCTCGAGTGACGGGAAAGATACGAAGGGACGGAAAGCATATAGTCGAAGGACGCGATAAAGGTAGGGTGGTGAAACTTTAAAAATTGCCAGCATTAAATGGAATCCGCCCCAAGATAGGATTAACTGAAGATCAATGGGAGAAACCATCGTCTTGCAGTAGACATAATCATGATGCCAATGATAAGTTGCCTCCGAACGTGATCACTGTTGTTTTTCCCAAATTACTCCCGTGCTCAGATAAATGGTTCGCGAAGGAAAGAACGCCAAAAACACGGTCCGGAAGTGAGCCACAGTTGACCTCCAGTATTGACACACAAGCGCAGGCGCGCACTGTGGCCGAATGTAACGGTTTCAGGGCAGCCTAAATGCGGAGAGATCAAGAGGGAGCCAGGAGCTGAATAGCCAGGCGACCGGCAATATAAACGCCCCATAGTTCGGAGAGCTCAAAATAGCGCGACAAAACGGACCGGTGAAAAGAAAATCTTGCCGTGGCATAACCGCTCGACAAAGGGGGGGCTTACGTAAGGTACCCGGTTTCCCGAAGCCGAGCACCGAAAGCGAAAGCAATTGACGTTGATTGTGGCGCTGTACCGCCAGCGATAGCGGAGCGCGTAGGGCACGCGGTAACAGCTTTTGAGAGGTCCCGCACAGAGAAATGCCGCGGAAGACGCATGAGGAGTTGCACAGCCGGTCAAAGGGGTGCGCGCGGCCGCGGAGAAAGGTGGCGCGAAGCAAGGCAGGAGGTACGGCTTATTCGGGAAACGGGACCGATGATGGCCGGAACAATCGCGACAACGTCAGAGATGCAGGAGGGGGGGGGGGGGGGATGAGTAGCGGCGCTCTCCTCTCGGCGGGAGGCGAGGGGGGGCACGCGAGAACGGCGCGCCGGCCGCAACAGGTTTCGCCGGGCACTCGAACGGCCACACGGGCCACGGTGTGCACGGAGTGGAGCGCCGACGCGCACAAGAGGGATATATACACGACGACGAGGACGCGACCAGCATGACTGCATCCGAACATGTGAGTACGCGCGCCCGTTGTCCACCGTCGCGGGATTGCCTTTTCTCGCGCGGCCTCTGCGTAGTCCAGCTGCAGCCTGCTCAAGACCTGAGACGTCACGCAAGCGGCATGCTCAGATCTTGAGTGAACTGCTCCTTCAGAAACCCCGACGCGGCATGATGCTTGCAAGAATGTTTGCTAGGCAACACCGTGGAATATCGCGTCGAGCATGATAGGAGATTTTTCCAGTGGGCTCCAGCGAACGTATGCCTTCGACGCGCTCTCTTCGGTGACCGTACGAAAGAGAGAGCTGCGCAGACATTACTCTTTCAGCTGACGGCGCGATTGTCTCGCCGTGCTTGCTCTACGTACATTTCACGTGGCATAATTACTGCGCGCATGAAGTACATAAGAGTACGTTCCTGTACTTTCCACCTCATGAAAGCAACAAGCGTATAGTTCCGTCAGTGTGTTTCGTAGCACTCGTCTACACAGCGCCGACGACTGGCGGAAGTAATGCTGACAGTTTCACGTAGACCGCACAGGTGGATGACGCGTATCACTCGCTGAAACGTTTTAACGGTTCCAAACAACGCTAATCGAGTCGCTTAGTGCAGATTTATTATGCTGAGGCCCACATCGAGAAGTTTGACACAACTTATGTTAATGATGTGTGGGGTTTAACGTCCCAAAACCACGATACGATTATGAGAGACGCCCTATAGTGGAGGACTCCGGAAATTTCGACCACCCGGGGTTCTTTAACGTGCACCCAAATCTGAGCACACGGGCCTACAGCGTTTCCGCCTCCATCGGAAATGCAGCCTCCGCAGCCGGGATTCGATCCCGCGACCTGCGGGTCAGCAGCCGAGTACCTTAGCCACTAGACCACCGCGGCGGGGCAAGTTCTACACAACTACCACATTGTATACCTTCACGTGTTTTGTGACATACTCTGTTAATGTGGGAACTATACCATCGAGGCCTCCGGTCGCCAGTTGTGCTGTAATCATGGTGCGAGATAGGAGTGTAGAAAAGTCACGCTAACATTAA